AGTGGGGGTCACTATTAAGTTTATCTAGCACTTCAAGTCATAAATTTCATTTGATGAATTGCAAATAGGTTTCAAACTGAATTCTAGAAGCAAAATCATACGCAATATATTCGGCAACTCAAAATATGTTCCTTGTTATACAGTAAATATGTCAAGAATTCGGTGTGATATCCACAGCGTGGACAAAGTATTTTTATTTCTCACACTGAAAGAATAATATTCAAAGCTTTGAATTGAATTTGAAGCAATTCAGCAACTCAAAATATGTTCCTTGTTATACAGTAAATATGTCAAGAATTCGGTGTGATATCCACAGCGTGGACAAAGTATTTTTATTTCTCATACTGAAAGAATAATATTCAAAGCTTTGAATGCAAAGAAAAAAGTAGGGGGTCACTGTACTAATAGACAAGCTATCTTAAGCAACTAAATCTGAATTTTTCATCCCAAATCACCTCTCCTGTCTGTGTGGACCTGTTGGGTTCTAGTACTTTATATATTCCCTTGTGAAATTCTCTTTGTTATCTCTAGGGACCTTTTGATTGTATTAGGAAATGAAAAACGTTACAATTGACCAAGAAAAACGCGATCAAACCATGGCATATGTGCATGCGTTAAATTACACAAACTCGCACGTGCTTAGTAAAAACAGCAATAATACATAAAACAACTTAATTAATTAATTATAAATAAATAAATAAATGGATAAAAAATAAATAACGTTTTTCACTTCCCTGAGGATGGCCGAGTAGGCCGAAAGCTCGGAACATATTTATTGAATTAATGGCTGATAAAACAAACTATTATGAATGTAACAACAAACAACGAGGAACTATTTGATTTAATAAAAACATTGGTAGGCTCACCAAAATATTATTCATGCAATCTTCTTTTCTTTCTTATTGTACAATCACGTACTGTAGTTTCAATATTTGAAGACTAACATGGGAGTCCACATAATGTGCTACTATAACTATTCAATTTATATTTACCACCACAAAATGATTAATGGAAGAGCAGGAGCTGAAACAGCTATAGAAAGATGTCTCCAGTTCCTTATACCATAAGCCATTCCATCAAGAACCATCAGAGAAAGTGCAAAAAAGAGCCAGTTTAATGTCCCAGCAAGACTTCTGTGGTCTGGACCAACAAATTCTGTACTGAGTACAAAGAGCACTATAAAGACTCCACCTTGGAAAAATCCAATTATTGCTCGCAACAATAAGAATAGCCTGTAAGTGGAAAACAGTGATGAAAAGTAATGTGTTTAGCCTCTGTTAGATAGAGGTGCAATGTAGACTTGAAAAAGGAGGCAACACCATGAGATGCAGCATACATTCTCATAAATACACACACATAAAAATTTTGAAAATGTAGGAGGTAGAAGAGGGAGGGCATGCAGTAAACATTTTGAAAATGGTTGCAGCCCTCCCCCCCCCCCCCCTCACTCAATAAGAAATTCATGAACCTCCTGTATGTGAATTAAGTAAAGGAAACAGCTATTGTCAAAACGAAAAGGTTTACCCTCCATAAAAATTCAAATTTATACTGATGAGCCTAATATATACAATTTTATATTGTATATAATATAGTGCATAGATGCCTTGAAACAATGTACAGAATGATATAATATAACAACTCACCATAAATCATGAACAAATGAGCTAATAAATGCTGCTATAGCTACAGCACTGACTGCTGGAAACAACACCCTTGTACGACCAAATTTATCAGACAGTCGACCAATCAAAAATGCTCCAGGAATCCATCCAATGAAGAGAATGGATTGAGCTAAGCTGGCAAGTGCTTYCCTTCCGCAGACAAGATCCCACTGGGTATAAATAAAACAAGTAAAGCATACAGTATTTATACAGTATAGCTAGCCCTGTACTGCTGTTGACCACAGGTAACCCAAACATTGGTTTTGAGATTCRGTTTGTTTTTGAAACGGAATTTTTTTCTTTAATCCTTTGCTTCATTTATTGAGAAAAATAAATATTTGTTTCATTGATCTTTATCATGATGCGCTTTATCAAAGCCCAAACAACTTGCATTTAATAAGTATTTATGCATACACACTTAGCACGTGATAACACTCTAGCTACGGTACGTATGTTATAGCATAACCTGCACACGTGTGAAAATACCCGTGTGAAAACACAYACAGCTAGCTAGGTAAAGAATAATCTAAAACAGGTTGTCAAGCGGTAATTTGAAAACATTATCAATACATACCTCAKTCACAATGGAGGTAAACTCGTCAGTATACTTCCAGTCAGTCCTATTCATCGTACATCGGTCGTTATAATTCTTATCTCCGARGCTGAAAGTTCCATTCAGCTCACATGAAGCTGCCTCGTCTTTACACTTCCAAGATGGATCAGCCCCAATGAATACCACCACAAGAGGCTGAAAAGTAAGTATAAAGATTACTATACCTAATATAATGGCTAGACGCTTTTGAAAGTATCCAAAACCACCGATTTGAGTTAGTATTTCGTCTACATTCATCTTATAGAGACGTTGGTCAAGTCCAGCTCACCATATGTGCACTTGTGTATGATAAAAACACAGGAAGCCCGCGTYGAGTTTGATCAAAAGAGTGCAAACACACTTCACTGAACACTATTCAAACTGGTGTTAAATTCACGGGAACTGATTAAGAAACAACAAACCACACCAATGAGCGTGGAATTCACACTGGATAATTGCCCTATTTCACTATGACKTCACTGGTTGTTTGTGTGGGTGATCGCCAAATCCAATAGAAAATCCAACAAAATTTGCTCCTAGCGAAAYAGTTTAATCTAAAATGGCCTGGTTTTCAGTTATAATATGTGTTAATATGTACTAAAAAAWATTCTGAGCGTTTGCTGACTAYTCTACTTCTCTTTGTGGATTGATGGATTATATTGATCAATTGATGATTGGTTATAGAACAATTTTCGGTGAATTTGCGTTGATTTGACCCAGGCCC